AATCTATTTTAAAGGGAAATTTCACCAGAATTTCATCATGACTTTTTTTATCTTCTTCTTCTTGAAGTCGCTCGGTGCGGCGACTTCAAACGGTTGGCATGAGCAGAGGCTGTTGAATTTTACTCTGGTTAATATACGACTGTCAGCAGTGAAGTAGAGAAATTATGCATGTCTGATCACACACACACACACRMACACACACACACACACGAACACACACACTCTCTGCTGATGTGACGAGCAGCTCCCGGCCAAATGTTTTGCCCTTTATGAGATCTCCCTCGTGTCTTCATTCCCATCCCTCTTCCTCCCTCCATTGTTTTCTCTTCCTCCCTCCTCACCTGTCTCTTCCGAACCTCTTCCATGATCTCCACCACACACACACATACATGCTGTAACCTCACCCCCCCTCCGGCTGTCTTGGCGTCAGAAAGCCTCGACCCGCCTCTGAATTACTGTTCCCCAAAAATGTCACGGTGTAACCATGGCGACCTGATTTCTCGCTCAGCGGCCTGTAATGATAATGTCACATTCGGTGCCGGAGAGTCAGACGCCGCCGGGCTCCTGTCGCTGACTGGCAGCGGCGAGGGGGGCTGCAGCTAAGTGGTTCGTGACGACAGACTACACAATTAGTTTCATGTCACAAACCACTGAGACCAAAACTAAAAAATGACACCAGCAGTAGTGTGGACGCCAGGCGTAACCATAGCAACAGTGATGAGTTTAAATATTAGTGTGGACGCGGGCTGACAAAGATGGAGAAGTTGACGGGTGACCCTAACCCTTTCCATCCGTCCGTCAATTGAGCAGAATCAAAATTCGGACGTCCCGTAAAGGTCTGATTCCCGAGGTGTGCCCTCTAGTGGAACACTCCGGTAACTCTCCACTGGTCCAACGGACCAAAGAGCAGGACGCTGCAGCTGCTCGTCACTTCATCGCGAGCTGCAGAGGAAACAGAGCAGGAAGCAGAGGGCGGAGGGGATGGGCCCGGGTCTCCTGGTTACTGTGGCAACCAGACTGCGTGTTACAACCTGATAATCAGGGCCTGCGCCAGAGGGGTCTCGTAATCAATCACACTTTATCAATTGCCGTGACGACCATGGACGGACTCTGCGGGGTGTCGTCTGGGAGCCGAGGCAGAAGATTGAAAAAAACTGAAAAGACCCAGAAAGGGGTTTTATTTTGAAATACGTCGCATAATGAATGGTCAGGACACACACACACACACACACACACACACACACACACTGTATTGATCATCTGAAAGGTTTTATTGAAGTTTCAGTCGTCACCAAAGCTTCAGGTTCTCTATTGATCCCGTCAGAATCCATAATTAAATTCTGTTAAGCCTGTGATTGATACAGATGCAGGAAGTTAAACTGGGACATTTATCAACTTTGTCAAGTCAACAAACAAATTCAAATCCTTTTCTTCATCAAAACACAATTGAGCTTCGTGATTCGATCACACGAGGACTCAAAGCTTCAAACTCTCTCGTGTCTCAGGACTTTGTACGTTTGCATTTCCACTCGCTTCCGTTGTTCAAACGTTAAACATTAGCTATCTAATGAGAACGCCTGATGACGTCATGTGGAGTCAGAGTCTGTGCAGGTGCGATCGTGACGAGTCGGTCTCACCTGTCGATCATGAAGTCTCACCCAGCTTTTATAGCATCAACTGAAATTTGGAGGAAGAATGAATATGTGACGTTCACTGAGGGTAGAGTTTAAGACTTGTACTGCAGCCAGCCACCAGGGGGCAGTCCAGATGTTTAGGCTTTTTGTGAGGCGTCATGTCGTCTCATCTTTATCTCTGTTCAGTAAGTCTGAACTGTCGACACGTAATATTTCAATATCGAATCACAATCAAACCCATCAAACAGTTCGTCATGTTCATTTAGTGGTGAAGGGCTGAAATGATTTGTCGAGCTGCTCATCACACACACACACACACACACACACACACACACACACACACACACACACACAGTATATTACAGTACATGTATATGAAATCATTCAGGTTCCCCTCTCACCTTCTAAAGGGATTTTGAGCTTTAAAAATAAAAACCTGTCCTAGTTTTTCTTTGATTTGTTGGATTTCCACACGGATGAATGTATGACTGTGTTATTTTTCTAGAAGCGGACGGCTAGCGCACGTTGTTGACTCTTTAATAAAGGCATCCTTAGAAAACTGTGGTCGGACTGTTTATTGTTGGAGCCTCTGGAGTAAGAAGGTGACTTGTGCTGTTTTTCATTTTCTCTCAGTGAAGAAAACTTTAAGACAAACATGAAAACAAGTTTTTCATTCCGACTCTTCTCTTTTGGAATGAACACAGATTATTTTACCAGTTACACTAATTTAACATGAATTTATTTTACTGAAAACCTTGAAAATGTATTTAAAATGTATAATTTACAACCAGAAACTTTTCTCTTTCATTGTATTTCCAGCTCTGTGGGCAGCGATGAGGACTTTATTCACATTAATGTGTAAAACAACAAAAGAATAATATCTTTCCATCACCTCTGAAACCTGGTTTTCCCCCGTCGCTGTTGTTAATGAGACTTTTTTCAGTTTTGCAGATGGACGGACAGCCGGACTTTGGTTTGTGAGAATGTGGAAACCTGTGGACGTTTGGTGCTTTTGAAAGGTGTTGAATGGAAACTTTATCTGTTTGAACACAGAGAACGTGGCTGTGGCTCGTCCTCGTTGTGTCGGAGTCTTTTAACGACACGAGGCCGTCGTGTCACAGTCTCACTTCAGTGTTTAAACGGATGAAAGCTGCGTCTCTGTTTGCTCTTTTCATTTGTGTGTTCAGAGCAGCTGAGCTTTTCATCAACCTGCATCATCCCAATGTGTTTATTATCACGGCTGAATAGAGGAGCAGCAGAGAGAGAGAGAGAGATGGAGATGGAGAGATGTGAGTTTTTCTTTATTTAACAAAGCCCTCGCTCGCCCGTTGTGTGGGCAGCACCGCTGAATAAAAACCAGCTTTCATCTCCCTCTCTCTCTCTCTCTCTCCTCTACATCATCCTCCCCTCCACCAACTCAGTGTCAAGTCCTGCTATGAGACAGTCATCTGTGTGTGTGTGTGTGTGTTTGTGTGTGTGTGTGTGTGTGTGTGTGTGTGTGTGTGTGTGTGTGTGTGTGTGTGTGTGTCGGGGGGGATATTACTCACATTACAGGGACACTATATGTAAATAATATCTTCTGGTTAAGGCATTCAGGTTTTAGGTTCAGGTTAGGGTGAGTTTAGATTAAGGTAAGGATAAGTTTAAGTGAAACTAGGTTTAGGTTAAAGTAAATAAAATTAAGGTTAAATTTAGTTTGGGTCTAAGGTTTGGTTAAGTTTTAGGTTGGTATAGGTTGAGATAAAAGTAAGATCAAATTAGATTTACATAGAGATTAAGGTGAAGATAAGGTAAAGGTTTAATTCAGGTTAAGATAAGAGTGGTAAGGTTTAGCTTTAGTTTGAGGAGGTTGGGTTAAGGTAAGGGTTAAAATAAATGTAAATCAATGCAAGGTCCTCTAAAGTCCTGGAGGCAAGTGTGTGTGTGTGTGTGTGTGTCAGTGTGTGTGTGTGTGTGTCAGTGTGTGTGTGTGTGTGTGTGTGTGTGTGTGTGTGTGTGTGTGTGTGTGTGTCAGTGTGTGTGTGTCAGTGTGTGTGTGTATAGTTCAGCAATAAACTGAAGCACCTCTCAGAACTATTATTAAACTACTGTGAAACGCTTTTATCTCACTGTGCTGTGTAACACACACACACACTGACACACACACACACACACACACACAGTGTTTGATGTTGATGAACTATTTTAATTTTATCTCATTAACTGGTGTAAAACTTTACTCTTTTTTTTAAGTTAATTTTCAATTTAATAAAAACAGAAAATCAGCCTCATTTTAGAGAGAGAGAGAGAGAGAGAGAGAGAGAGAGAGAGAGGTGAATGTTACATCACCACCTGTGTACTGTACTTTGTGTGTGTGTGTGTTGCTCCCTCTGCTGGTTGAGACTGAACATTGCTAAAACCAGTTTATAACATGGAGGGACATGATCACGTTGCCTCAGGCTGAAGACAACAAATACAAATTAAAAGGACAGCAGCAGAATGTTCCTGCAGCAGAGTCACATGTTCTCATCAGTGTAACGAGAAGGAAGCACTCCTGTGACACGTGTCACCAGATCTCTGAAGAAGAGGAGCAACGTGCTGCTCGGCCTCCAGACGTCTGTCTGTCTTCTACTGGGTGAATTCACACTAAGAGGTATTTTATACAGTTGAACAGGGTTAGAGCTCCTCTCTCTCTCTCTGTGTCTCTTTCTCTCTGTCTCTCTCTCTCTCTCTGCAGTGTCGTCGCTGAGGGGCCTCGATGGATCGTCCACCGTGGAGAGAAGTTAGTTCCAGGGCCTCCAACGTCTCCAGGATCTGAACAGTGAGGGGCCCGGGGCCGGTGAACGGTTTTATTGATCCAGCTGACTCAGATGTTCCTCCTGCCTCTGATCAATTTATTGATTTACTCTGAAAAGTGATTGTTTCCTCTTGAGTGCAGGACTTTTTAAATGTCCTGTCGCCTCTCTCTCTAGTTGCTTCTCCTCCTTTCTCTTGATGTCACCTCCCTTCTTCTTCTTGCTTTGATTTATTTCCCTCCATCCTCTTGTCTCTGTCTGTCCGTGTTTTGTTTTAAAACTATTTATAAAGTTTATTTGAAAGGTTTCATAACTTTTATCTGACACCATCATTCATTTAAATCCATAAATCATAAATATATTTTACAGTAAAGCGTAATGTGTTATTGTTGTTAATTATATTGTTTCTTATGATAATTACTAAAATATATTTATATTATTGTTGTTGTTTAAAGTTATTTCCTCGTGTCCTGTCTGTCTCCTAAATTTCCATCAGAGTGAGACATCTCGCATCGTTCTGCTCTGTGACCACTCCCCCGCCTTCCATTGGTCCACCTCCGCCTCTCTGATTGGTCGGGGGCGGCGTCCTGAAGCGGAAGTGTGGACCCGTACCCGGAAGCAGCGGAGGAGGATGTGAAAACAGAGAGAACGGAGAAAGAAGGAGAGAAAAAAGGAGAGAAAGAAGGAGAGTCTCCTCCGGTTCGAAAACACAGAACGAAGCGTTTTCATGTAGAAACAGAATCAAAATGATTTCAGCCTCGTGCGCGTGTTTGTTTCTGGCGGTTTGTTCGGTGGCAGCGGTGAAAGATGGAGGAGACGATGAGTGGGTTCATCTGCCGAACAAATGTGAAGGTAACGATCTGAGGAGGAGGCAAGACTTTACTGAGACACATTCAAGGAGTCAGTTTAAATATCATTAAATATGATTTAATATCTGCCTCTGGTGAAGGGTTGTTCATTCAATTCAACTTTATTTGTATTAATCTTTATATACATGATCACAAAGCTCTTTACATGGAAGATCCAGACCTTTAGAGAGGGGAGGGGGGAGGAGAGGTGGAAGAGAGAGGGGGGAGAGAGAGAGGGGAGAGAGAGAGAGGAGTTGAGAGGAGAGGTGGAAAAAAG